AACCCTAAACCCTAAACCTGGGGCCCCAAGTAGACCCCAAAATGGTACCCCTGGTTTAGGGTTTAGGGTTTAGGGTCCCTGGTTTTGGGAAACCCTCAGGTGTCGAGGGTCGCCCGGCAAAGGCTGCATGGTTCTGAAGGCCGCGGAGAGTGCGGTCCAAGTTGAGAGAAGACCATAAATACTCAAGTATAGGGTTTAGGGTTTAGGGTTTAGGGTTATAAGACTCTCAGACTATATTACTATTACTATTACACTTAAATTTACAGTTACAATTGCAATTACAAGTAGGATTACTATTAGTCTTGTTGCTATTGCTGTTATTCCTCTTATTATTACTATTAGTGTTACTACTGTACTACTAATGACTTTTCTAAGGTCCGCTTGCCCCAGTCTTAGCAGACGGAACAGCTTTGTCTCTTTGCACAGTAATAGTAATAGTAATCGTAATGTAGTCTTATAGTATCATACTATACTATAGTGTTCTTATTATACCCTATATAACCCCCATAATATGGTAGTTTCCATTTTATTTTCAGTTTGCAGCAGCAGTTTGCCCTTGCTTGGACGCTGAGGCCACTCTGGTATGCTTCGCGCAGAGGGAGATGGGAGGTGCTGAGGCGATGGCCGAAGCCACTGTATACTAATAGTAATATTAATAATGATAATACTACATAATATACAATAATATAAGTACTATAATATACTACTATAATATATTATAATATGCTATAGTATATTACAATATACTCTGATATTTCAATTCACGATCACCTACTATAACATACTACAGTATGACAGATCTTCTTGATTCTCTTAAGCCGCAGGAGCTGATTGCAAAGCTGGGTCTTGGTGGTGCTCGATCTGAGGCCCTCTAGCCCGCCAAAGAGCAGAGAATATACTACAATATATTCTTTTGTAATATAATGTAATATACTACTACATATTCTTTTGTAATATAATGTAATATACTACAATATATTCTATTGTAATATAATGTAATATACTACAATATATTCTATTGTAATATAATGTAATATGCTACAATATATTCTATTGTAATATAATGTAATATACTACAATATGCTACAATATATTACAATATACTACAAGATACAGTGTGTACTTTCAGACTTCGCCCGCCTGAGGTCACTGTGTGCGACCTAGCTGCTCGCCTGACGGCTTTAGGCTTTGATGGAGATGCCCAGCGTGCAGCCGTGCATGCTGCCAAGCGGCTCGTCTGACTCCGCCACGAAAGTACGTTATTCATCTGCCCTAATAATTAGTGTGCCGCATTATTCCGCAAATATGTAATGGTACTATACCGGGGATATTCAGTATTCCCTTCTTCTCAGGTGCGACAGTGGCAGCGGGACTAGCGTCTCTGCGGAGAAGTTGTACAAAATCCTGCACGTGCAAAAGAGGGAGAAGCCATGTATTGCAGACCGCATCCAGCTCAGCTTGCCAGTTTGGAGATGTTGGTTGAAGCTATCCAAAAGCTTATGCTCAGGAGGTGAGGCTGCATTGTCTCCAAATGTGTACATACGAAGGCGTTCATCCACCCCAGGCGGGTAAGCTCGGAATTTCCTACAGGGTAGTCTCCCAAAAGAGGAGCACCCCAATATAGAGCCAAACTGCTACAGTCCTTATTTTGGGGATCCCAAAAAAGGAATCCCTCATTTTGGGAAACCCCATATACTCCAAACCCTCAACCCTAGACAGTCCTATATCCGCACAGCGTTCGCATGGTGTCTGGAAGGTGCGAAAGCAAAGGCGGCTACAAAGAAGAAGCCAGCAACCCCAGTGCCACAGAAGCAAAAATTGGCCCTTTAAAGGGGATATAGGGGTTCAGGAGTTTAGGGTTTGGGTTTAGGGTTTAGGGGGTTAATCTAGGGGTTAGATGGGGATATTTAGGGGTATGTATAGACAAAGGAAAAGCACATGGAAACTACTACATTCTCATTAGTTATGCTGTTTGCATCATGCGGCCTTTAGGCTCTCGTCACGTCGTTTCCGCTCAACCGGTTTGCGATGCCAGAAGCATCCGCTTGCATACCTGTGCCAGTGGTCTCAAGAAGCTTGCTAAAGCTAAGGTGCTATCAGCAGACGTTGGGTGCATGTGAAAGTCGGTGAGCGCTAGGGCACGCTAGGAGCAATCCAGTTTTGCATCTGAAAGCCTTAAGTACTGGGCTTCTCTTGTGTTGGCCGTTTTGTTTATGGTCCCAGAGAGATCTGTGAATTGAGGGGGCGCAGCTTTGCAAACCCAAACGGGGCACTAGCCGTTGCCTTGCCGTCCGGTGGACAGCTTGTGCAAATATTGGGATAATGGAACAGAACATGGAAGCTACTACGGGTTCAGGGTTGAGGGTTGAGGCAGTTCGAAAAGTCCTTGCAGGTGTCATCTATGCATGTGACAACTGCGCTGATCATCTAAGGCGTCAGCGCCTCCTCCCTGGAACAACAGCGTACAAGACCTCAATGTCTCGATCATGCCTCAGCTTTCCAGACTCCCTGGCAGTATCTAAAAATTAGATCCCCTATGTAAAGCCACAATTACCCCTATATAATCCCTATGTATTTCCCCATAGTCTTCTAGGGGATCTAATTTTTGGATCCCTTTAGGGGCCTGGGTTAGCCTAGCAGTCAGCTGGATTATGGTTTAGGAACTTAAATTAAGTTGCCGTAATATGGGTATATATAATTTATGATAGGGTTGCTTTATTGTGGTAATTTAAGTCAAGTTCCTTGTTGCTCCGCAGCAACCACGTTTAGTTTAGTTGTGCACGACATGTGTCGGCTAAATCTGGCCAGTATGGACCGCGCCCAGGAACAAGCTCCATCCGAACTTGAGATTCTATTTTTCCGACTTTGATCCGGAGCACAGAGAAAAGAAGGAGGTCTGTCGAAAGAGTTTCTGTGCTGAGCCAGACACATGTTGCACATTCCCTCAACGAGACTGAAGTCGTGGCTTCAGCACAGCCAGGTCGTTCGTAATGCAATGAAGGAAGCAGCATGGAGCTTAGATTGTGGCTCTAGTGGAGATATGGTAGTTTCCATGGATAAGGGGATCTGAGTAGAGACCCCAAACTGCTATAATTCTTCTTAAATGGACCCCTAAACGGGTGCCCCTAATTTTGGGGAAGCCCCCATATCTGGACATGGCACGGCATCCAACTGGGTTCCTGCGAAGGACCTTCAATTACCTTACCATAATAAGGAACTGTTTTTGTTATATGCCCTAAACCCAAAACCCTAAACCCTAAATCCTAAACACCCAAACCCTAAACATCTCAATTTCCTTCACAGCAACCCAGCCACTTGTCTGAGGCAAAGACATCCTCCAAGTTTATGCCGCCAGCTAGGACTTGCGACACGTAAGACCTTCTGGTTTTAGGGATTAGGGTTTAGGGTTTAAGGTTTAGGGTATGGTCATGGTTTTTGGTGAATGTGCTCCCTAAACCCTAAACAGGGCAGGGCGCCTTGTCTTGGTCTGGTGTAGTGGGCTGATACAAGCTCCTTGGCTGCCATGTCAATGTGAGCCCTACTCTAAACTCCTTAAAGGGTTTATATGAAGGATAACGTAGGGTTCCGATTATCAGGGGAATGCTAGGAGTCCTAGCATCCTCCTCATTAAGCCCTATAATAGGAGCCCTACGTTATCCTTCATATAAACTTTTTAAGGAGTGAAGAACTAGGAGTTTAGACCATCGATCATGTGGGATGGCGCTCTTGCGAGGACCTCCCACATGAGCACCAGATCCTCCTTTATGCGGCAGGTGCAGACATGCAATCATCATGGTTTAGGGTTTAGTAGGGTGTAGGGTTTTGGGGTCTAGGGTTTAGGGTCTCGGGTTTAGAGTTTGGGGATTTGGGGTTTAGGGTTTAGGGTTCGGGATTTGGGGTTTAGGACTTCAAAATCTCAACCCTAAACCCTAAACCCTAAACGTAGTGGAGAGTCTGTTGCCATGCTCCAGCCCCAATCCTGCGACATGCAGCTGACCCAGGTCGATTCACCATAGGCCCAAGAGCTCGAACTACACGGGTGGTTGTCAAAATTATGGTGCCCATTAGGGTAAAATTAGGGTTATGTTGGGGTTATGATGGGTTATATGGGTGGTTATCAAAATTATGGTCCCTTTTCGGATCCCTACTATAATACGGCACCTAATATTTAGGGTACCCAAAAAGGTACCACAATTTTGACAACACCCATGTGCCTCTTTTTTTTTTTTTAATTTTGAGGACTGATTTCGGAGGGACCTGTCTTTTTTTCCACTTTTTTTTGGGATGGGGTGAGCTTGTTTCTCGTCTGAAAGGGACCGCTGATGTGTCTTGCACATAGATTGGGAAACCGGTATCTGATGAAGTTGCATGGAGCATGGAATGTGCAAAAATCCACATGTTGCGTGCATCTTTACGTTATGGGGGCCCCCAATAAGATACGCCTGATTTTGGGAAACCACCATCGTAGGTGCCTTAACATTTTTTTTAACCAAAAGGGAGCATTTTTTTAAAAAATCCCCATGTGCTGCGATCCTGGGGACCCTAACGACCGCGAACAGCACACAGTAGAAGAAGAAGAAGAAAGCAGAGAAGGGAGCAAATCAGGGGTGACAGTTTTGAACATAGATAAGTAGGAATATGAGGGCAAGTCAAAGCTCCTTAAAGCGTGTTATATAGGGGATTATATAGGGGACTACTATAGGGGTTATTAAGGGGGATACTAGGAGTTTAGACAGTAGCTCATATGTCTGTATGTCTATGTGTGCACATGTACAGGTATACAGGGATATAGAATCAGGGAAAATGGGCAAAGCTTTATTGTATGGTGAAACTCATGCCATTCCTTCTGCAACCCATGGCTTTAGGCATGGTTTTGATGAAGAAAGCAAGGATAAGGGTTTAGGGTTTAGGGTTGAGGAGGGAAGTACTTGGCGGCAATTTTATTGGATGCGTTTCGACTCTTATGAACAGAGCCGCAGTTCTTCATGTTTTATTTTCGTCAGTATTCACTTTATTAGAGTTCGTGGTACTGTTGTGACTCTTTCAAGCAAGGCTATCACTTTCTTGTTTCTTGACAATTCTTACAGCTATTGTTGCTACCAGTTTTCCAGTGTTTCCTCAAGTAAGACAATTGACGCTTTTTATTCCGTCGCTGCTGAATGCATGTATACTTTACACTCTTTTCGTTTTCGCGATTATTTCCATTGCAGTGCTTGCAGCTACAGTCATGACCATCAGTAGCACAGTCAGGCAAAACAAAGGAAACACCAACACACATGGTAGTTTCCATGAATAGGGAGATCCCAAGATAGACCCTAACAAAAGTCTATATTATTGATACCTAAAATGGCCCCCCCCCCCCCCGCCCCCTACCTCCACCCAAAAAAGTTCTACGCAGCGTTGGAGTGATGCATGGTGCATGCTTTTGCTGCCCCATTCAGGCTATGAAGCCTGACTGGATCACATCCATACCGGCAGAAAGCGAGAACACGCCTAAGCCGTGCAGGCGCCGCAGACATTTGCTAAATAAACCTTCAGTTGTTCCCAGTTAATCGTTGATCATGGCCCACAAGTAATGAGCTCGTTGCAGGAGATATTTCCAGACCAGCGAGCACAAGCCCGTGAGAGATGAAGTGCAAGACTTGCTGCGGATGAGGGCGACGCACACCCCTGGTATCCAGGATGTGACGCGTGGAGGCCCGCAGTCCGGCAAACACTGGCCTTTGGTTAGCTAGGAAACTATACATGGTATGTTCTAGCATATGATAGCATATTGTAGTATATACACTCTCGCAGTCTCCCATGTTGTGCAGGCAACGTAACTCAATTTGCGGCTTCTCCAGCTCGACCAGTTGCTCGGTGGAGTTGAGGTCAGTTTTTGTGAGACATTAGGAGGACACCCCCTGCAATAGCGGTATAGGCTTTAGGGTACGGGGTAGGGGTACAGTAGGAATATAAGAGGACCCTAATATAATCCTGATAGCCTCTATTACTGAGTGTGGAGCCCACTTAGTGTGACCAGGTTTCAACTCTGCTTGCGCTTTCCAAGGCATTTCGACGCGCACAGTCGGTACCGGTTTGAGGGGCCTACTGTGATACATCGCCTTACGGAGGCTCCCAGACCTTCAAAGGGATCTAAAAATGAGATCCCCTAGAACAATGTGGGCAGTTTTTCAGGATTATCTAGGGGTTGTTGTAGGTTTTTGTTAGGGGATCTAATTGTCAGATCCTCGCGGGGGTCTGGGCTAAGGGAAACTTTACCTTGGGCCTCATTTTCCGAGGAAGTGTCAAGACTGGTCGAAGTCAATCAGTCTTCGTCGTTTCACCCTGTGAGACCAACCAGTGCTTATGTGCAGTGCCGTGGTGCCAACACAGTGACATGAAAAGCCTACGGTACCCTTAATTTTAGGAAGCCCTGAACTCTTGGAAGTGGCAAAACCCTATATAAACAACATATATATATAATATGTATATATGTATACATGTATTCATGTACGTGTGTAAAAAATATAGCCCTATGCATTTCCCATAACTCCGTTAAAGGACCCCCTGGCTCCACAAGAGACTGGGCTTGCTCTTGGGTTTAGGGTTCAGGGTT